AATACAAAATATATTTTTTTGAAGTATTATCAGCAATGTTTTACATTTGCACTACTTTTTTGTGAACAAGCCACATATTTAATGCCACTATTTGAAAATGTCTTTCCCAGTAAGAGTAGATGTAAGAATAGAGAATATATGAGGATTTTGCAGCCGTGTGATGCTTTCTTATTTCATGGTTTTCTTTCAATGTCAGTTTGGTTGAGGATGACGGAGCCATACCAGATCTTCCACGAGATGTAGAAACCATTCACTGTTTACATCTTATCAGCGGCTTACGTGGCGCCAGAAGGCTCAGTCCCTTTCTTACTAACATACTGTTCATATGTTACTAATTATGCTGGCCGTCTACAGTATGCCTTCCTGTAGGCTCTTTTTACGCAGCTGTTAGTGTACCATTTGATTATTATTGCTGCTGCTGATGTGTTATTGTATTTTTGTAAACTTCTGGCACAACAATTTCCTTCGCATGAAATACATTCCTATCTTATCTTTCTCGACATATAAAAAACCTACAGGATAACGTTAAGACTGTATTGTTATGATACTGGTATGGGACAGCGTGACAGCTGATCAGACGAACAAATCCGACAATTCAAAGTGATAGCTACACGCTCGTTATCCTCACGTCGTTGTCGGAAGTGTTTGACTGATGTAGTGGGGCATTGTCCAACAAGGGAAAAAAAAAACGGGAATGTTCAAGCGCCACTTAGTCCTAGGAGGCGGAATTTCGAGTATTGACTCGCTAGTTTCAAGATATCAAACACCCTCGCTCGGTTCCATTCAAGTGCTTTATTAGGAGGTTCAATGGATCAGCGGCCGACGTGGAAGCTTTTGCAACTGGGATATTTAAACATAAACAAACAAATCCCAGCTGCGCTCAAAACTTTCCAACTTCCTCTCTAGAATTCCTGTGTGTCACGATGGCAGCGTCATTATGTACCTGAGCACGCTCCTATATCTGCCTTCTCTATGAATAATCGAACAAAACATGAAACGTAGAGCCTGGTGTCCTAGCTGGATCAGGGTTTTTCAAAGTGTGTTTGGGTAAAAGGTGAGCCTCCCTCAGAGAACATAAAGAACAGCCGGGCCCCCTCCTCCCAATTATTATTGCTGTTTATATTGATTATTATTTTATCTGATGTATTATTAAGTTATGTATTGTTGTTGTGCCTGCTATGTGAAATGCAGGGGTATTCCAATTGCATTTCAAAGAGTTCAGTAAGAGAAAATGCTAATTATGATTGCTCTGTTTTCGACTGTCTCCTTTCCGCCATTTGAAATTTACTTCCTGAACGTGTTCTCTCCGTCTTGTCGTGTCTCTGTGTGTGTTGAAATCATCGTGGCTGGACTGCACCGATTTGATTGGCTGAGTAGGTCACCTCTAAAACATTAACATAACTTTTTTTAACCTTTTTATTTATGGAAGTTGAAGAATGAGCACTTGTTTGACAGCCTTTTTGGCACGGTGGGGGAACCGGTCTCCACAGGACAGCCACAAGTGGGCAAGTGTCACGATCCACACACGCCACCACGAACACGATACACGCGGCGTTGATCATCTTTACTCGCTCTTTTTCTCTTTCTTTTGTTGTCTCACGTGGCCTCGCCCCTGAGCCTCTCTGGCGCCCCCCAGGGGAGGCGCCTCCTCACACTTGAAAACCGCTCCCGCGCTAGATAAAACGTTTACAAAAACGCAGTATAATAGATATTCATTTATTTCAGTGTATCTTAGAACTTAAAATTGAAATATTCAATGGCGCTCACCTAAGCCATAATCGCCTTACCATTAAAAAGAAATGTGCCTAAATGCGCTCGTTACAATGCTGTATACATTAGACACTGAATATGTTGGTACCTTTTTGCTTTTTACAGAGTGTCTGCCACAGAATCTTAACGGGTGATTGAGATTTCTTTATTTTGCTAAGTATGCTTTTCATTTTACTGAATTTTGTTGCTCATAATTCATTGTTTTGATTGCTTTTTGTGATATTCTTTCAAAGCTCATTCGATTCCTTACAATCTTTTTCTTTTACAGTGCCCAGATATCAAGGAACAGTAAGAGCTCTTCACTTTAATCTTATTGTTACTTCTTACCGATTACTGTGAAGTCGTGAGCAGTGGGAGTGCCCAGGGAGCTCTGTGCGTTTAGAGATAAATTGTTATATTTCGCTGTTTGACAGGTACGCACATCTTATGCAAAGGAGTTGACAAGGTAGGGAAGGAAGCTGTCATTATTTTCATCCAAAATACAACAAGTCTCTGAATAAACCTCAAATCTGATTTTTTTAACTTGTGTGTTTCACAGCTCGTGCCCTGGCACTCTCACTTGAATCATCTAAAGGTGTTTCCTGCAATTTCACCCTGGAGGCGTATGCATGTGCACAGGTGACATTTTAAAGTTCAGAGTGGAAATGAAAGGTTGATGTTGCTGAGAGGGTTTTTTTTGTATGCATCGTGCTGCCTGTTTGGGATCAAGTTACAAAGACAAGATCAATTTAAACACAATTTGGAAAGTAGAAGTGTTAGAATAGAAACACAAGGAAATAAATAAGTTACAGGTTCATGGAAACAAGGTGTACAAATCAAACGGTATTACTTATACTTAGATAGTCTGCCTTACAAATAGTTTTAGAGAGATGTGGAACTGTTTACAACAAACTGGGTTACTAATGCTAATGGGTATATAGACATATTCTTAAAGAGTGTATTTGTACATTTAATTTACACATTTACTTATGCTATATCTACAGATAAAAAAGAGCAAATACTAACAATTACAATACAAGCGTAGTATAAAACAGTGCCCTTAATCACGTTAGTCAAACTCGTGAATTAGCTAATATTAAGTAGAGGTACTATGATAATACCCGCCAAATAACCCGCCCCCCCGGCCTACGGCTCACGACCTGATCCACCACGCATCACCCCTTCCCCCGCAGCCTTTGTTCATCAGAAGCGAACCTCCTCTCTATCCTCCACACGAACCAAGCTCTCGAAAGCTGCTGGGACAGAGCCTTCTCCATCGCTGCCCCCACCCTCTGGGGGACAGAGTCCTTCTCCATCGCTGCCCCCGGCTCTGGGGGGACAGACGCCTGTTCTCCCCCTCTGAACTTCATTCCACAACACATCAGAGACTGCCACCATCCCCCCACTTTCAAAACACTGACCAAAACACATCTCTTCAGACTGGTTTTATTTGTGATATTATGTTGTGGAGCGTTTTTAATATTTTTATTCTATTTGATATCTTTTATCACCACTGTAAAGCGTCTTGAGGCCACCTGAAAAAAGTGCTGAAATTACTCACTTTATTATTATTATTAGTTAAAATAACAGTGCAGAATAGTTTATCACTCCACGTATATTACAGTGTGGACCATACAAGCAAATGTAGCGAATCAGTTTAACATCAACGTTACAGTATAACAACAGAAAAGAGTATATAAATAACCAGCATGAGAAGAAGCAGAATCAACGTGAAATGGAATTAAGTCCTTGGATGTTTTTGTTTTAAGGAAAATAACCTGTTGAATAAATCAATACAATAGCTAATTTAGTATTCTCGTTTTTTTCGTTACAACAGCTGGAGGACTCAGCGGCCACTCATCTGGGTCTCTGCTGAAATGTAATTTGCCCGGAAACAGCTCGCTACCTCCAGTGTTTTGTGGAAGATGCTGCTGACGAAACTCTCCCCTGTCCTGGACCCGGCTCTGGACATGTTGGCCGGCATGGTCAGTATATTTTACATGCAGTCTCATGGGGCCTCATGAAGTCTTCCTTTGAAGTGAATGATTCAAATGTCAAAAAAAGAGCTCATCAATTTGAAAAAGATTGAATTGCTGGACGAAGGCTCCTTAAATATTAAAGAACATATTTAATTTTATTTGTATTTTTTCCGTTCATGGTATGCACAACTGAATGTATAACAATTATTTACAAAACACCATACCCGGAAAGGAGCAGGGAGAAGAAAATAATCTTATATTACCTTTCTAAAAAAATAGAAATAGATGGTCTGTCCTTCATATTTTCGTATTCACAGCCAAACATAACAGTATCTTAGGAAAATAAGCGGCGCATTATAATAATAATTATATATAAATATATAATGATGCAATAAGTGTATTTCTCCTACAGCCAATGCCCATGGTTGGTCCGTCGGCCTCGGAGGTGTTGGACGTGCTCGGAGAGATCCGAGTGTCTCTGCTGACGGACGAGGAGCTGATGAACAGCAGCGTCATCAGGAAGTGGTTTTCTCAACGTCTGAGCGCGTTTCTGCCGTTTACATCCGGCAGATTCCTACACTGTCTGACCAACAGGAACCTCAGCTGTCACTCATACCAGCAAATGTAAGTGATTTTACCGTTTTCAATCACCATGTCTGTTTGTTTTGGAGAAGAGTAGACCTCTGCGGATAATTTAGCTCTGCGGTAAATCCTCTGGAGCATCTGGACCTTTCGTTATCAGAGAAACAACCTGTTTTAATCACCTGGTCTGTTTGTTTTTGGCATGAAGGAGACTTTTTTTGATAATTTGCTCCAAGTAGAAAACACATGAGTAGTGGGAGAGACTGCCTGTACTGACTTTACTCAGTGATGGTTGTATCTCCCATGATCCCACGCTGCTTCACAACACCACCAAACGTCATCTCTTGTTATTGTTTTGATTGAGAGACACCAAAAAATGAAATATTATGGGTTTCAAAAGTCTTGGATCAAGATATACATGGCCTCCATTCAGCCCATTTGATTTGGGTATTTATGTAACGGCATGGCCTGTTGTCTGGTGTCTCTTTAAGTCTAAATTCTATGTATTTTTGCAACATTGGTATTGACGAGAATGTCTTGTTTATGTTTTCCATGCATCCAAAAAGTGTGTTAAAAGAATTACAAGAAAAAAACCTCGAGAAGATAAAAATGTTTCTAATTCTTTCGTTGATTTTATTCTCAGACTGCAGGTATTTATCCACCATTTTGATAACATGACCTCACACCAACAGCATGTGGTGCTCAAGGACTTCATCCTGCGCTTCCTGTCACACCCACACTCAGGTACATGCTGCATGATCTGAGCGACTACAATAACTATTTTTCAAAACGTATTTTAGCATTTACACGTGTGTTTCCCTCCTCGTGACTTGGTCCAGGTCCAGGCTGTGTGTCTGCCTCTAACAGCAGTGCTGAGTGGCTGATGAAGAATCTCGGTCCATTTTCACGGCTTTTATCCATCAAACAGCTTCTTCACCTCAACCCACACTTCAACCCTGTAAGATTCAACTTCTCTTACATCAAGGATCTAGATTATTGAGCAGCACTTTTATTATGCAAACTCTGTTTAAGTCTTTTTAAATCACTTTAAAAGCCCATTTTAAAATATGAATTGTTTTGTGTGGTTTTTTTGTATGTGACTTTATGATTTACTCTTTTTATACTGTGTTTAGTTGCTGGTCGTTAGTTAATTTCATTCTTTGTTCCAATTAAATGTGTTTGAAGAGTGTGAAAAGCACTTTGTAACTCAATTAGAAATAAGCTTTAGACATTTTTTTTGTTTTTTCATTTTACTTTGGTTTCTTTTTATTTAAGTTTTTTTTTTCAATATTGTTTTTTTTAAATTTATTTTTATTTTTATCCATTTTTATTTATTTTTATTATTCTTTAAGTATTTTCTATTATTTTTTATTATTTATTTATTTAATGATTTTTTTTAATTGTTTTTTTAATTGTTTTTTAAAGGGGACCTATCATGCAAAATGCACTTTTTGATGTCTTTTATACATAAACATGTGTCCCCGGTGTGTCAGGGAACTCACGCAGCGTCAGAAAATAAAACCCTCTCTCTTTTCCTCCAAATCAGCACTTTTGAAACAGGAAGTGAAATAGAGGGATATGAGGCATGGCTAGAATGGGTGATCTGTTTGGTATTTTGAGCAAAACACTTCATAGACATGTTTTTTATATATTTGTATATATCTGAGACCTATGCTATTACCTACAAATAGCATGATAGGCGACCTTTAATGTTATTGTTTTTTAAATTAGAACTATGACCTTGTTATTCCCGCAGCAGTGAAACTCTTTTTGTCCCCCCCCCCTCTCTGCAGCTGGAGGCTCTGCGGCTCCTGACTCCCTCACAGACCGCTGAGCTGCTGCTGGTGAATCTCCCCTCTGATCTCGATAAAGACGCCATCATTAATGTGATTTTTGACTTCCTCACTGAGTCTCCCGACGAGAAGAAACTCCAGGAGTTCCTGATGAACCTCGCCATGCTCCATAACCAGGTGAAAGATTATTCCTCTTGAAAAAAAATATACACTTTTGCACTGCGTCTTAAAAGTAATAATGTTGTTTTTTCTTTATTTAAAGGCAAACTTTACCTGTTCATCGTACAAAACACTGTAAGTTAAAACGTATTTATGATGATTTTATAGACTTTGTATTGATCTTCTTAAAAACAATTATATGAAACATGAAACTGTGATTTAATCCCACATGTTGCTGTTCCAGGTATACGAGAATGGACATGGCCTTATCCTCCGTTTCTGTAAATACAGCGCACACCATCACATACATCAAGATGGAGTTATCCAAATACATTCCTCCAGGTGAGAACCACAGTCAACTAGACATTACAAACATTCACAATAAAATAATAATACAATACATTTACTTGGAAAAGCTTTGAGGTTGGAAAAACCATCTTAAAAATTGAAATCCAAAATGTGAAACTCTTGCTTTGCCATTTATCTAAATTAGAATATTATGGATTTCTTACTATTGAAATCATCATTTTAACTTTTGATCTACTCCACACGTGTCAAACTCAAGGCCCGGGGGCCAAATCAGGCCCTTGGTGGATTTAATTTCGGCCCGCAGGATAATTTCTAATCACTATTAGATNCAGAATCAGCCCTTGCAAAAACAGGGCTGGAAAAGAGCAAATAGAGCAAAATGAGGCATGGCTAAAATGCATGATCTGTTTGGTATTTTGAAAAAAAAACTTCACAGACATGTTTTATATAGGTATGGCCCTACAATATATGTTTCAAATATAGTATGATAGGTCCACTTTAAGGTAAATGGCTCACAGGTTAGCAACATGAAGGCAGCTCAAACTGTCAACTGGTCAAAACACAGTTGCTTTTCCATTGGAAAAGTAGCTGCACAACAATAAAAGGCCAGATAGAGCAGAGGGGAACTGCAAAGTTTTAGTGACAGTAAATTACCTCCACCAATGAGGTTGTTTACTGTGTCACTAAATAGATAATTTGTTCATTTTAATACAGAAATATCAGTCAGTGCTGCTTTTGTGTTGTTGTTCCTATATTGTTATACCTTTGTGTTGCATATGATTTCATATTTGACATGCCTTTCTTCTTTTGTTTCTTTTAAATGTAAAAAGCACATTGAGTTTCTTTGTGATGAATAAAGCTGCTTTGCCTTGAACACTTATTAGTTACATGTCCTAAAAGACAGCACTGTAATGTTTTGACTTATTGTTCTCAACTCCTACATAAAAAAGGAATTACTATGATTCTTAAGGGATCTCCCCAAAGACTTTTTGATTGATAATTTCAATGACAGATCTATTGTCTGATCCTAACAACTGATGTTGGTGTATTATTCGTCTATTTATCATGCATTTTATTGAGCTTTTATGTTTGTGTGCTTTTGTTGTTTTTATGATCCATCTTTATTGCAACCCTGCCTGCAAGCCTTCTTTCCCTTTCAAGACAATAAAAGTTGATGGTGTGAGCTGCGACCAATAAAGCACCTTAAAGTGTTAAGTGTTCATCTTAAGTTATTTCAACATAAACAAGGCTTTAAAAGCTACACACAGGGAGGATTGTTTATTTCAATTCAATACACGGTATGCAAAACTACCGAAATATAAGAAAACAGCATTTTTACCCAGCAACCACCCTGTGAGCAGGAGCAGGGCCACTCATGTGTTCAGTTGGCAGGATGAAAGAACGTGCAATTGGAGCACATTGATTTTGCCTCGTGTTAAAAAGCTTTTATTGACATGGCATTTTCTCACCAGAGAAGGTTACAGCAGAGGAGAGAAGAGAGGGAGGGAGAAAGTGAAACAAGAAGGGATACCAAAGAGATGCCGCACCATGATGGCTCAGGGCGTCCTGTAAACTCAACCCACTTTAGCCCCATTTAGCACACCATCCTTTCAAGTACTGCCTTCCCCATTCACACAGATAGACACTCCCAGCCACACCTGAAAAGAGACGATGTGGTTGACTCTTAAAACCTTGAAACTTTGGCATTAGAGGCCTCCCATATTTCTTTGAGGGAACAAAACACTGAGGAGGGGACAGGAGAAAGAGTCAAGGACAAACTGTATTCTGAGCACATAGGACGAATACAAAGGGGATCCGACAGGCAGGCAGCGAGACAAATCAGAGCCACAAGGATGATGAATCTGGAAACCTTCATCACCTTTAAAGGTTTGCTCATAACGATAATCTTTCCTGAAACGTCGTCATTTCTCCATAAAGAGTCATAAAGCTTTACAATGGCTTCATCTCTGGAGAAGCCGTTGACGCTTTACTGCTGACACAGCTCTAAATCACCATGCCCTGCCTCCTCTTGCCACTTCTCTTTTTCTTTTTAATGGAAAAAATGCTCACAACTCATACCCTATTGTCTCTCAGTTAACTTGTTAGCCATAAGTTCGAAATACCACAACACAGTCAGTATATTCTTAATGAGTACACCAGTAGAGCAACATTAGCATTGATTATGAGTTGTGGCTATGGCCAGTGGTAAATGAAAGTCTTTAGATCTGTTTTTGGTCTACATCAACCTCCTGAGCAAAATATCTGACCCTAGTTTCTCAACGTTCCACTTTATTTATCAACTTTTAGTCACAAGTAATTTATGTTGTATTCTCTGTTATTTGGCTTTAACGCAAAAGTACAAAACAGGTCCAGAAAGCCTGAAATTGAAAAATGGACTTGACGTGCCACAACAGTTGAATGGTACAATTGAAAATGAACAACGAAAAAAGGCAAAATGAATTGTCAGAGCTTCAAACAGTGGATGTCCAGGGAAAGATGAAGGAAGCCACTCTCATGCCACCTGAGAGAGACCATCTTCGGATAGAGGTAGGCAGAACGACTTTGCACTCATACAACCATATCACATGAAAACACCTACGCCAGCCCCATTTGCTAAAGAGGTTGAGAGAGGAGGGGTGAGATTGAAGATCAGAAGCTTTGAAAACCACTAAGGGGACCTTTGAGCCTGTATAACTGCATAAAATGTTCCCTAATGTCAAGAGTGAACCTCCATGCTCATATACAAAGAAAATATAATTAAGGGGTCTGCTTGTTATTATCAGTCAACATATGCATTTGACAGCAGAAGGTCTGAAGAGGTAAGTCCGTATCTTATTAGCAGGCATACATTTTAAATTCCAAAAGGCAATGTAATCAATAGATTACATTAGATGACTTCATTATGTCTCAGAGGGGAAACTAGTTTATACGCCCAGGCAAAATGACAAAAAATAAAAGAGATAATTCAGAAAGGTCAAAGCAAAGCTGAGCCGAAAAATGAACACATTCAAATAAAATATTATTGTAGCCCAGGAGACAACCTTAATTAAAACAATATCTTTCATATCGATTGCATTACATAAAAGGCCGACTAACAAGTGATATAAATCGGACGAGAAAATAAGCCATAAATGTGAAAATCACTACATATGACAGGACATACAATCCACCTATTGACGCTTTAGTTTATCTGAGAGCATCATTGTGTCCATTTCAAGCAGATCCAGGGATTACATTCAGCTCAGCGAGGACATGATGAGAAGGATCAAGTGTACAACATCTCATGCCTGAAATACAACCTTAAACTGCGCTGAGCCTGCGGAGCGTGTTGTTAAATATCCTCTCGTGTACCTAAATCCCTAATCTCATCACATTGTTACATTCAATCTCCAAACTCTCGACATCAGATGCTGCCGTAATGCAGAGCTCCAAAAATAGCTCCGATGCAGTGTCGCTCAAAAGATGTATGGTTAATATTCATAATATTTAGCAAATGACTGGGTCTAGAAGAAAAGAGCTGAGAAGGACAACGGTCTCATTTCACACGAGCACGCACGGTCAGCATTTGCACTGCAGCAGCAGAATTTCTGAAAGCAACGTTAAAGAGATTGATGCATACTGTAAGCTCTGTGTGACGGACCAAATCACTTTTTTGATTGAATCAAATTAATAAATTGGTCTGACCTTATGCCAAAACTCAAAAGTGGATATTTGCATTAAACAAGTCCTAAGTTCTTCCAGTGATATCTGGAGGAGACAGAGTTTATTGCAGCCTATAAAATTGTTGAAACAAAAGAATAAATATAACGACAGCTTCGCTCTTTCTCAGCAACGCTATTGCATAGAAGACACAAATACAAAGTTGGTATTGAGGATTGAGCCAGAGTAAAAGCAATTGGGTCGGATAATAACATTTACCTGAAGGAGCTTTTTATATCTATAGAATTCGATATTTACTTTGTACAATTAAAATTAGCATATTCAGCGTACAGACAATAAAGTGTTATCAATCTTCTCATCCCACTCTCTTAAATGTTGAATTATTGCTTCAATACAAATATGGCTGATGGCTTGTTTTGGACCAAGGGTTTTTTTTGTGGATAAAATGTAAACCTGTTGACGTTAGATGTAGGGTTAGAAAAAAGTATTTGCTCTGTGCATCATTATCCATACAGAAGTGAAATGCAATCTGGCCACTACTTTCAAGATAGTTTATCTGAATCAACCAACATCAAGCCACCTGTCATCCGCATAATTAAGCTGTCCTGCTTAAAACAAAATAGATAAATAGGGTAAAGCATCCCCACATCATAGCGTTTGAACACCTGACATTCTCTCTGGGCCAAAGTCTCTCCATATTGTCAATCTGCTGGAGCTTCCACCCAATTAAACCCAGTTATGATTTATTGGATTTCTGTGATGCCATACCTCTGGTTTTCCAACACAGTTTCAAGGAAGCTTGAGGAGTCTTGAGGGGTTTCCAGCTGGGGCCCTGAAATATGTGGAACATTTCAATTTCACCATCACTGCAGCCAATAAAACGGTTTTGATGAGGCTTTTCACCTGCCTCTGTTATCTTCAAACTCAGCTTCCATCGCTGTGGCACTGCGAGATAACATAGAAACTCTTCACAAAGAAACCTTGTTTTTTTCAACTGGAGGTTTTCATCAGTCGAAGTCAGTTTGATTAAAGATCATAGTAATCCTTAACAACATGGGGTACTAACAAAACCTTTATCAAATGTGAGGCTGTGCTCTAAAGCCTGCAGTATTTTTCTATAGTTTGTTTGCATAAAACAATCTACAAAGACTGGTCTTTATAGCTATTTAATCTTGTTTAGAAATATAGATTATTCATGGCGATACTGCCATCACTTGAATCAAATACCAGTGACCTGCAGACTAAAGATTTTTCGCTATATCACAAATAATATGTATATCTATAATCACAAAGCTGTTAGATGTGCTAAAAGTCTATCGACAATCCCAGGTACTATGGTGGTAAATGCATTCGAGCCATTCATTTAAAATATGTGGAAATGCTGTCAAGCAGCTTTGACTGAACATGAAAAGACAGAACGTTTTTATTTTATTTTGGTTGTGGCCGCTTCCATCCCATTCTAAGCTGCCGACTGAGCCTTGAGAGGCAAGCTGCTGCAGAGCAGAGATAAGGCTCCACCTGCCAGCCATGCACATCACTGTGTTCGTGTGTATTCATATAAGGGTGTTTGTCTGAGACTGTGTGTTTATCTGAATCTGTGTGTGTGTGTGTGTGTGTGTGTGTGTTTTTGTGTGAGTGTGTGTGCATGTGTACCAGGTCTGCAAAGATAAGTGGCTCTTAGGAAACCAAAGCTTCACTGAACAAGTTAAACATTAAAGAAAATATACTTTTTTTTTTTAAAGCGGGAAACGAGAAACAGAAAGCTAATGTCCTCTTCAGCAGCAACAGAAACACCTACTGTATCATCTCTCTATTGTTTGGTAATGTTAATTAAAAGGAATGGCAGCTGGCCCCAGGTAGCTAATTAAAGTAACAAGAAAAAAATAACCAGTTTTAAAAAAAAAAAATTACAGTAAGTCCTAATTATGAGCGACATTCTGATAATTATGTGATATTAATGGGAAACGCCTGAGAGATGTTCTCCATTTATCCATCCATTACCTGTGACTGCTTAGGCTACACTATTCAGAGTAGCGAGTATTAGATAATTTTTAATCATACATTTATTTTCCTTTTTAACCATTATCTTTTGAACAATTGCACTACTGATTACAGTATGACGTAATCATATACTAAGGAAAGGTGTAATCAATTTTAAGAAACAATGTCATTAGGATCACACACAGACTTCTTCATAACACTGCAAATTCGTAAAAATAATTTAAACCAAGGCAAAAATTATGATGATAGCTCCCCTATAATATCTCATCATTAAAAGACACTTCAAAATGATGGCATACTGCTGTTAAACATATGAAATACAAAGTCATAATAATGAGAAACTGTTATAGAACTACTGACATCAGTATTAGATGCCTATTTCTTTTACCCGTATCTGGCACAAGTGAGATAAAAAGTCATAATCAGATTCATTTGAAATGATAAGAAAACATAATGGTTGAAATGGGCTTCTATAGGAGAAAGTAGTGTTGGAGTGTCTCTAAGGTGTGTTTGGTTGAGGGGAGTTTCCCTCTTTAACCGACATTGCATACAGTCAACCATACAGTATCTGAAGCTGATCCCCACATTTAATTGGGGAATATAAATGTCTGTTTCTTTCTGTTTTACACAAAAATACAACATACTGTAAGCTGATCTCTCTTTACAGATATGCAACACAAAAATACAACATACTGTAAGCTGATCTCTCTTTACAGATATGCAACACACAAATACAAAACAGGATAGATCCTCTATCCATCATTCACATATCGAATCAACTACTTACATTCTGCTGATAGAAACTCCATTTTCACTCATTCTTAGAAAAAAACAGGAAGTGCAAAAGGAAGGGCAGTTCTTTCTGCGTTGTGGCCTGCCTCTGCAAGACGTATGTGATAATATCGAGGCAGGCTTCTACCAAACATTTCTGTGACGCTGGGTCTGAAAACACGTGTTCGTTTAGAACTCAAGAAAAGGAAGTAGATATCACAATCCCCAGGTCATGCCTCTGTCAGGGCGAATATGT